TTACCCTCCAAGTGTATTTATTACTACTATGACCTACCTCTTTATTCCTTCTAAGCCACACATAAAGATGGTCATACATTTGACCTCACCACTTTTGTAGGTAGCCTTCTTTAGCCATCTTGCTCTTGTCTACTTAATTATCTCATGGGTAAAAATCACCCTGATGTATGGAGCATGAAAATAATCCCTGATTAATTTGTTCTATATGGTTAAAAATATTTAAGTCTAGGGAAAGGTTGAGGCCTGTCTTAAAGGTCACAAAGATAGACCCTGAAATAACAAAGAAAAGGCTTCAGAGTTAATATTTTTCTTCTAGTTTCCGGTTATTAGACTTACTTTCCAAATAATCTGCCTCCCATCCTTTTGCATTCCAGATCCACTGGCCTTACCTACTATGATCATCTTCTTTCTTAAAAGCAGCAGTGAAAAATCACATGAAGGGGTTTTTCTTTTTTCTCTTTCATATTAAGTTTTTTTGTGGTTTAAGACAGTAATTAGAGGGAGTGGATGTCAACAGTCTGCCCCTCTATGATAATCATCTGAGAAGTGGTTATTATATGTCCTTTTATCCCTCTAAAATAATTACTTGAGGGAGAGGTCATTTCTTTGAAAGTCTAAAGGTCACTTCTCAATAAAAACCAAGCAAAGATATTTGTTAAAACATCCTGCAATATCTCAACTTTTATGAATCAGTACATTCCTCTATGGGCAGTATGGTTATATATAAATGTCTATAAATACACAAACATACATACTTATACATATACACACAATATATCTCATTTGATCCTCATAACAACCCTGTGAAGTAGGTTTTAATATATAAAATATACGTTTGTAGAATTTATAGAAATATATATGTATATGTGTGTCTGCATGTGTGTATGTATGTATGTATATGTATACATACACACACACATATTATATATATATAATATATATATATATATGGAGAGAGAGAGAGACAGAGAGAGAGAGAGTTTTCTTTTGTGTGTTGTCTTCTCCCATTAGATTTGAGGGCAAGAACTGTCATTCTTTTAAGTGCTTAATAAATGTTTTTGAATTGAATTAAATATACGCGCATGTGTGTGTGTGTGTGTGTGTGTGTCCCATAAAATTTGCCTCACTGGAATGACAGAGTTGTTGTGAGGATCAAATGAGATAATGTATCTAAAGCACTTTGCAAACCTTAAAATGCTAAATAAATTCTAGCTATTATTATGTTAATTTTACTTTGGTGAAGAGTTATTTTCTTTCTTTTTTTCAATCCTGCTGAGGATGCAAGAGCAATCTCATGTTTCTTCCCCTCCCATCCCTGGAAAGAAGCTTTAAATCCCTGTGTTTGCTCATTTTGTTTTGTTGTTAGCAATATTTCTTTGTTTTTATGTTAAACCAGTCTAATCCAAAGCAGGAGGAAAGCAAATATTTAAGATTCTCTTGCTTATAGCTGTAATTAACTAGCACTTACTAAAAGTAGATAAAGATTCTCTGTTAAGTAGTATATCAATTAATTTCTTGTATGCCCCTTATATACATATATACTTTATTATCTGTATGATTTTGATTAGGACAAAAAACATTTGTACTAGAATAAGAGAACACACATATACATCTACATGTATATGTTTCTTTGTACTCTGATTTTGTAAAAAAAAAACCACTTCAGTGATTATTGTTCATCATTGATCTTAAATTAATACAGATGATTCAGTCTCCACTTACTCCCGTTTTTGACAAAAATTAAGAGCTCACAGATAAAGCACACTTCTGAAAAAATTTCCTATCCTAACCTGGGTCTAAAGGAAGATAAGAATATTTCTTCATGGAACCAGGCTCCAGGATTGATAGAAAGTTACATTTTTAGTTTGCACTCCATAAGTCTCATATGACATAGATTTGGAAACAAGGTAGGACAGATAGTAACTTCATAACCCCCAAGTACATAAGGAAAGACTGAAGTCCCACCCTTAGGTCACTGCTTTTTTTTTTTTTTAAGCCCCATGCCAGCAGTTAGGTTCAGCAGTGGGTAAGAACCACAGATACACCGGGTTTGTGGAATATAACCCCAAATGGAAGTGTCCCAGACCTAAATAAGCAACTGAATTCCTCCTACTTCTAACTCTCCTACTTTTCTACTGAAAAAATAGATGACATGCTTCAGAACTTTTCCCCATCTTTCCCCATTCTATCCTCTTTTATTCCAGTCTCTGATGAAAAAGTGGTTCTACTTTTAGCCAAGTGTGACCCCTTCACTTGGGCCCTTCATCCTTTCCCCTACGATTCTCCAGAAACTTGCCGGTGATTGATTTTCAATTAAAAGCAAGCAGGGATTTTTGTTGACATATTGCAACATCTCAACTTTTACATATCACTACATTCCTCTATGGGCAATATGGGCAAACCCTCCCCTCTCCTCCCCATTCAAACTTTTAGAGGGCAAGGACTGGGTCTTGTTACATTGCCCCATCCCCATAACCCAGGATTCTCTGAAGTGGTTGGAAGATTAGGCTCTTCTCTGCCTTGGCTAGAGCTCCCATCAATTGTGTCCCCCAGTTTTAGGGGCAAATGCCTTGCACCCAGTTCCACTGAGCCACTTAGTTTAGCTTTTACAAAGGAATATTTACTTCAAAGGTATAATATGAGAAAACATACAAACTTTTCCCTCAGCACCTGAGAGCCTAATCCCTCCTACACCATCTCAGTCTCTAGGAAGTATCAGCTCTTACCTAGCATTAACCCCAACAAATGCAAGTCTATCCTGAGTCGTTGCTGGGCTTGCTTTAACATATGGCCTGGAGTGCTTTCCTCCAAAGTCCCTGTGGCTCACTTTTCTGGGTCTGGAACCTAGAACTGAAAAAGACAGATGAAACAGACCAAAACACCAAGCCCATTTCTTGGGGCCTCGTGGAGGAGGCCGATGGAGGAAAGGGAGGTATACCTGAGGAGTGCCTCCATTCTCCTACCCCCCCACCTTACTTCATAGTGTCATTTGCTGTGAGTGAATGAATCCACCCCTGGAGCCAAATGCTGGAAAAAGAGAACAACCGTATTTAGTGAGGTCGATTTAAAGATACAGATAATTCTGACTATACAGCCAATATAAAAGGCTGCTCCCAACCATATGGTAGGCCAATTCAGAATGTTTAGGCATGCTGTAGTTCTCCTGTCTTTCAGAAGCAAGTCCCAAGCATTTCCTACCTACATGACACAGTTTTCATTGGTTTGGGCATGTGCCAAACCTCCATTACACTTGTCTTCCCAGCACTTATCATACTACCTGCACACAGTAAGCACAACTTAATAAATGCTTTTTCCTTGATTGATTTGGTGACACCCCTCTATCCTGATTCTTCTTCTATCTACTTGACTGCACGTTTCCACTCTCTCCTCCTGGATCATCATTCATGTCCTATAACCTAACTGTGGTTCATTTAGATGTGATCATCTGGGCCTTCTTCTCTATCTACATTCCTTCCCTTGGTGACATTTTGGGTACAGTTCCAAATTGCTTGTGAATGGTTGGATCATTTCATAGCCCTACCAACACAGTCTGCTTGTCTTTCCATATCTCCTCCAAGATGGCCATTTCCCATTTTTTGTCATCTTTGCTAATCTGACGGTAGAACCTCAGAGTTATTTTAATGTGTATTTCTTCTTTTGAAAACTGTCTATTCATAGCCTTTGATCATTTATCTATTGGGGAATGGTTCTTGTTCCTGTATGTTTGTATCAATTTCCTACATATTTTAGATGTCAGACCTTCAGCAGAGAAATTTGCTTCAAGGATTATTTTGCAGTTAACTGTTTACCTTCTAATTTTAATTGCACTAATTTTGTTTGTGCAAAACCTTTTAAATTTTATGCCCTATTTTTCCAGGTCTTTTCCCCATTAAAATGTTATTAATATCTTTTGATTTTATATCATCTGCATTTTCCAATAAATTCTTCCACCTCCTCTTTGGAGAGAATTATCCATTATAACAAAGAATAAAAAAGAGAAAAAAAACAGTCCAGAAAAACAAATCAGTATATTAACCAAGTCTGATACCATATTCAGGGTTTTACCCATAATTTTCCACTTTTGCAATGAAGGAAGGGAGGCCTAGGCTTATTTCTTCATTCCCTTTCATTCACTCTATGTTACACCAGTACCTGACATTCACTGCACTGGCATTCCATCTTCTGCCCTGCTGCTGTAAAATATATTTCCTCACTTCTACCTCTTACATTTCCTAGATATCTCCAGACTCAACTCATGAGCCACTATAGAAAGCCTTTCCTGTCTTGATTGTTGCTGATTTCTCCTTCCTCAAATATTCTTGTAAATGTGTGATGGGAGTAGGAAATATGAAGTGTGAGTTAAGGTTGGAAAAGGAGGTTGGAGCTAGATAGTGGAGGGCTTTGAAGGTTAAGGCCAAAGAGCTTTTATTTTATTCAATAAGCATTGAAGGAATCACTGAATAGGAGAATAATAGATCCAGGCTGTACCTGGTAATGGTGTATAGATGGTTTAAGGGAAAACATTAGAGAAAAGAAGACAGATTAGGTTAAAAATCAAATCAACAACTATTTATGGATTTCCTACTATGAACAAAGTATTTTGCTGGATGCTATTTGATTGCAGAGGACAATTTTTTTTTTCCTAATGGAATTCATCTACTATGTTATAATGGAAGTCAGTATGGAAACTGACTTCTTAGCAAACTTTAAATATCTTTGGCCCATTATTTTAGGGATAGTTGTTCAGTTAAGTACAATCTCTATATACCAGACACTGAGAACCAGGCAGAACCTTGCTTTGCCCCCTACCCTTACTTACTTTTGTAAGCTAGTATTTAAAAATAAAGCAGACCTTTTTTTTTTAACAGGAATTTACTGGATAATTTTAAGTAATTAAACTAATTTCCTGGAACAAGAAAAATTAAAGCTGGCCTGCCTGAAATGAAGGATAGGCTTTCAAATGATGCACTTTAAAAATAGAAAGAAGGAAACAGTACCACTAGTTTACACGTCGATGTACTTCTCACAGAACTTGTCTATTTTTTTCTCCCACTTCCCAGTCTTATCAACTTCCTTTTGTCTCTTTGTGTAATATTATCCTTGTTGGGTCTCATCTTATTCTTCCCTTTGCAGTTCTTGATGTCTGGAAAAATATATTTAGAGAGTATATTTATAAGCATCATCAAAATTCATACCCAACAGGCAGGCTGTCTTTTTGCAGATTACTTACCCTTCCTCTTACATCACCAAGCTAAATATACACGTATATGTTGAATCTTCACTTTTCTCTCTTTCTTTGGTAAGGTACTTGGGGTAAATCATTTGCCCTTTCTTGGCCTCAGTTTCCCCATCTGTAAAATAAGGGGATTGGGCTTTGAGATCTTGGAAGATTTCATCTAACTTTAATATTGTGTTCCCATGAAGCCTTTGACACAAGTACGCCGTTTTGAAAGAAAGATTAGACTTTACAAAAGACTCGAGCTCCCGGGGAGGGGGGGGGGGTCTTGGCAGCGGAGGCGGGCTTTTTCCCTTCCCAGCCCAGGACGGAATGACAAGGGATGCGGTGGGAGCAGAGTCGCATCATTCCACCTCGGGGTCTGAATTGCCCGAATACATCAGTCAAAGACCCAACTTCCTAGGCCCCTCTTCCGTACCGTCCGGGCCACCTCGGCTGCTCTGGTTTCCCGGCTCAGATCATCCATTTCCCCAGAAGGGAAGGGAGGGAGGAAGCAGGGATGGAGGGCGCTAGGACCCGTAGGGAAGTGCCGGCGGCACCTCCCCGCCCCCTCAGGCCCTACCCCGCTACATGTTGGGGGCGGGGTTCTCACGGCCCGGGGGAAGGAGGGGGAGGAGGAGAGGGCGGCGCCTCGTGCGCGTGCGGCCGCTCGGGCTCGGCGGGCTGGCGGCTGGGGGAGGAGCTTGCTGGCCTCTAGCGGCGGGGTGGAGGCGGAGGAGGAGGCGGAGGGGGTGCCGACCGCTCGGGCTGTCGGTCCCCGGGGTGCGGCGAGTGGGTGGTGCCGGAGTTGCCTGGACAGGCCGGGCATTAGGGCCCCGGCGGAGCTCGCTCCCCAGGCCGCGCTGGGCGGGGTGCGAGGCGGACTGGAGCGGGCCCCGGAGGCAGCGGCTGCGCCCTGAGCCGGGGAGGAGCCGGAGCCGGGGGCGGGGGCCTTGGCCGGGGTGCCGGAGCGCCGGGGTCGGACGGTTGCTGGGGTCGGTCTGTGGGTCTCTCGGCCGGTCCTTCAGTCAGCCGGCCGGGCTGGGGCTGTTGGGCAGCCGGTAGTGAGGGCGGCGGCCCCGCTGCCCTGCTCCTCCTCCCCCGCGCCCGGTGCTCGGAGCCCGGCGCCGCCGCTGCCACTGTGATTGGGTGGAAGATGGCGCTGGGCGGATGGAAATCCTAATGACAGTCTCCAAATTTGCTTCCATCTGTACCATGGTAGGTGGGAGCTGCGTCGGGAGCGGGCGTCCTGGGGGAGCCCCTGACCTTCTCCTGCCCGCGGCCGCCCCGGACACCGCGGGGCCTAGGGCGGCCCCCGGGCTGGAGGAGACGGGCGGCGAGAGGAGGAGGAGGAGGAGGAGGAGGAAGAGGGCGAGGGCGGGGTACGGGCTTCGCGGAGGAGCCGAGGCGAAAGCGGAGGCTGCCGTTAGGGAAGGCACCGGCGGGCGGGGAGAGCTTGGACACTGGGGCGGCGGGAGCCATTAGAGGCCTCCCGGACCGGCCGGTGTGTGCGTGCGTGCGTGGGGGGGGCGCGCGCGTGTAAAAGATAGTGGAGGCTCCCCTCTGCGCGCGTGTGTGTGCGTGTAAGGGATTGGGGGCTTTCCCCTTACCGTGTGGGTTTGAGAAAGATTGGAGGTTTGCCCCCAACCCCTTCTCCCCCAACCGTGTGTGTGTATGTGTGTGTGTGTTTATGTGTCTAAGTTATCGGAGGCCTTCCCTTTTAGCGTGTGTGTGAGTTTGGAGACGTGTGTGTTTGTAAGCTGTTGGAGGCTTTCCCTTCAGCGTGTGTATGTGAGAGAGCGATTGCACTTTGATTCCCTCCGCTAGTGTGAATGAGCGATTGAGGAGGTTCCACTCATCTGCGCGTGTGTAAGTTAATTGGAGGTCTTCATGCGAGTGTGAGAGTTTGAAGGGGCGTGTGTAAGTTATCGGAGGTCTCAGCTTGCGTGTGTGAACGTGTGTGAGTTATTGGAGGTCTGTTCAGCGTGCGTGTATGAGTTTGGAGGCGTGTGTGTTCGTAGGCTTTTGGAGGCATTCCCTTCAGCGTGTGTGAGAGAGAGATTGGACTCTTATATTCCCTCAGCGAGTGTGTGAGAGCAAGTGAGGAGACTCCTCCATCTGTGTGTGTGTGTGTGTATGTGTGATTGTGCGTGCGCGCAGGATATTGGAACCTTTTTCCTTCGCCTATGTGTGCATGTGAGATTGGACGCTCCCCTCCCAGTGTGTGTTATTTAAGGCTTATGCGTATGAGGGTTGAGATAGTGGTGGCTTCCCCTTTTGCTTGTGTGAGTTCCTGGAGGGTCTTCTCTCTAAGTAAGGAGAGACTAGAAGTGTCCCCTTCAGTGGTGTGTGTGTGTGTGTATGTATGTAGGTATTAAAAGTCTACTCAAGGTGAGGGATGGAATTAAGAGGTCTTCTTGGATCTTGAGGGTGATTGGGAAATTGTGGATCATGAGTAATTACTTCTGCGGTGAAACTTTATAATTCGTTCCCCGGAGAAGCTCGAGTTTGATGGGATTAGGCTTCTTTTGGAAGACGAGGAAACATTTGTGAGGTTTGAGAGTTGAGGAGACTGAAGTAGGGGAAATGGGTATGGATAGAGTTAAAGGCAGACAAATTAGAAATTTCCAATTCTGCCTGATTGTGGAGAAGACAGTCTTCTTAAGTAGATTTTGTCACTATGGAAGGGTCTACTAATTGTGTTGATAGGAAATCTCTTGCTCCGTATGGAGATGGATAAGATTGGGTAGACTTTTTTTTTGCTTCATTCCTCTTGAAGGACCCTCCAAACTATTGCTGTTGTGGGTTGAAAAGATATACTGGTTTGTTTTACATATAAAAATCTGGAAATGCATGTTGCTGAAGAATTTTTCCTTATTTTCTATTTTTAATTTGCTGAGGAGTTCTTGTAATGAATTGCCTGCCCCCTTTTCCAAACAAAAGGAGACAATGACTATGTTTAGGTGGTAGCTTGGTCTCAGAATGTAAGTTACTTTTAAAAACTTCACTGATACTCTTTTAACTTATTTACTGGACTATACCAAATCTGTCAGTATTTATTTAGTTTTAAAGTATCTTTCTCAGATTGATGGGGATGGGGTACTTGTGTGATAACCTTAAAAAAATTTGTTCTTAACAACAGAAATGTACCCATGTCTGTTCAAAATCTTGATTTAAACACGTTACACTGAATCAACATTTATTAAATGCCTCCTGTGTGCCAGGACTAGGACAAGGATACAAAGGCAAAAATAAACAAAGTAACCTATGTCCCCAGGGAGCTTATGTTCTATGGGGGAATTAACATCTACACGTATGAGTAAATAGAACTTATTTAAAGAATAATTTGGAGATGGGTGGTTTGGGGCTGAGGGAATCATGAAAGGCCTTACATAGGAAGGAAGCACTTAAGCTGTGCTTTGAAGGACACTTAGGAATTTTAAGCATATGTAAAGGGGTGTGGAGACTTGGAGATGGGATGCTTTTTATGGAGAATTACAAGTAGACCATTTTGGTGAGTACATAAAGGAAACGAATGTATAGTAGATCTGGAAAGGTGGGTTGGAACTCGGTTGTGAAGAACTTCAAAAACTTGAGGAATTCCTGTTTGTTTCTAAATGCAACTACAGCTTCTTAGGCAGGGGGAATGATGGTCAGACCAATGCTTAAGGAATATCAATTTGGTAGTTGCTTGGAGGATAGATAGAAGAGGGGAGGGAATGGATGCAGAGAAACTAATTATGAGGATATTAGTCCTGGGGAAAGGTGATAAAGGCCCGAGCCTGGTGGTGGCCCCACGAGTAGAGAGAAAAAAATTGTTCCACAATACCTTGTGGAGGTAGACAAGATTTTTCAACTGATTGGACATGAGTGGTACTGAAGAATTGTTGAAGGTGACAGATTACAAGCCTGAGTGATTAGAAGAATAGTCGTCTTTTCAACAGAATTTGGAAATTGGAAAGAGGAGTAGGTGGTAGAGAAAGATGAGTTCTGTTTTGGATATATTGATTTTGTGATATCTATGGAAATATAGAGTAGCTGACATATTAGGGCTGGATATATAGATTTGGAAATAATCTGCTTGAGCTTTAAAGACTTTTTTTTTGTGCATACCTAAAAGGATAACAATAGGCAGCATCGTAATGGGAACAGTTATGATTCCAGATTATATTCATAGGAAAAAGTTACTCTTTGAAAAATAGATGCACCCAATTTAGGGTCATAGGTTTTGAAATTTTTATTCCTTTCCCCTCATCAACCCCTTAAAAGATCACAAGTGAGATCCTAAAGGAAGGACTTCTAATTGTCAGAAGAGAAGTTGTGGTGGTTTGTTTTTATTTGTATTGTATCTTTAAGGAATGAAAGATCAGAGCATGAAAAGCAGTTGAATCAAATGGCACTCCAATACTACGCTAAGGAATAACCTTTGAGGAAGAGAATCAGAAGAACTGAAAGAGATCATCAGATGACTGTTTAAAAAAGTACAGGTACTGCTAGGTATCGCAGTGGATAGAACACTGGCCCTGCAGTCAGGAGGACCTGAGTTCAAATTTGGTCCCAGGCTCGGGCCTTTATCACCTTTCCCCAGGACTAATATCCTCGTAATTAGTTTCTCTGCATCCATTTAGCAATATTTTAGCTGTGTGACCCTGAACAAGTCACTTAACCCTGAGTATCTTTTGGGGTGGGGGAGTGGGGGGGGGGCCCAGGAAAAAGTATATATGGGATTAAGGAAAATGTGTAATTCATCCAGTGATTATTGTTTCAAATGTTGCTGTTTTCAGTAGGATTTAGGGAAACCTATGGAGTTGTTTCTCTTTATAGAGAGCCAAATGTGATTTGAACCTAAGTAGACAAGGGTTCTGATCCTACTTCTGGCACTTACTAGCTATCTGACCACAAGTAGGTCACCTACCCTCTGAGTCTCAGTTTCTTCATCTGTAAAATGGGGATAATATCTGTAGTAATTACCTCAGAGTTATTGTGAGGCTCAATTATTATATAAAACATCTTACAAATTTTAAAGTGCTATAGTATTATTATTATTATTATTAATAAATGTTATTCATATTTGCTTTCTATGTCTTCTTTAGTCATTTGTAGATATAGTAGGCTTTTTTAATCAGCTCCATTTCAGGATGAACACATAATTTATAGGTTTTTTTTTTTTAAGTAAGGATTTTGTTAGATTTGCCAACCAGGAAGTTCAAATAGAAGATGATATCAAACAGACTGAGGTTGCAAGAAACATCATGGTATAACACAGGTAACTTTACAGGGCAAGGAATGGGAATATGTGAACTATTTAGCTTTGCCTTTTAAATAGTAGACAACTTCTGAATGAATGAATTAAAAAATTTCAATTTCAAAAGTGTCCCTTGTTTGCTGTCTTGAAAGTGTCTGCAAAACTATGGGCTAGTGAACTTGACTTTGATTTACAGGAAAATTCTAGAATGGATCATTAAAGAGGTAGTTATTGAACATCCAGAAAAGGAAGTAGTGATTAGCTAGCATGGCATCAAGAACAAGTCATGCCAGACTAACTTCATTTCCTTT